AAACAGGGGCCCCACATTGTACCCTGAGTTTCATTGCCGTTCTATTTCCCACTTGTAGCCCTTTGGTATCTACGATTTCCCCCCCAGGCATCTCGTTGCTGCGGCCTGTGCCAGAGACACCTGGCGGATCTGGAGATAACCCCAGAAGAAAAATTGGGGTACCCTCTGGTAATTTAACCATGGGAAAACCATGGGAAAACCATGGGGAAATGGTGATTTATATTGAACATAGCCATAGAAATAGTTTATTTTCCCATGGAAAATGGTGGGGTTCCATAGTTTTTTGTATAGTTTACCAGGGGGTAAGTTTATAACGACCGAAGCCCGCGACCGAAGCCTGGATGGTTGGAAAGCACTTAGGATTGGGGTAACTCTCCTAAACTTGAACAAGTAAGCCAACCAATGAGGGAAACTTGGTGATTTTTCTGTGGAAGATGGTGACTTCATGAAGGAACATGGTGACTTAATGGAGGAACATGGTCATGGATGATAGTACTGTAGCTTCCCCAAAAAAATAAGATAGACCCTGAGAATTACAAATTCTTGGTGGAAACTAAACAACCCCCTATTTGGCAGGGCTAATGTTAGTTGGCGGGATGGTAACAGGCGGTGATTTATCTGATGAATCGATATGACTTGTAGATTGCATGGCTTACAACTTGGCAAATTTGTTATGTTCATGGTAGATATATCTACAGGATGGGGCCCCCAAGATAGCTAAGTTGAGATATAAGTGGCTGAATTCTATGGTTTGTGTAGATATAGCTATAGATAACTATAGTTAGTTTAGTTAATGTTAATAACTATAGATTTAGTTAATTTAGTTGTTAATATCTATAGTTAATTTATTTAACCATTTTAACTATAGTTAAACCATATGGTTAATGGGGTTTATAAACCAACAAACATAACTTGGGGGCACCATCCTGTCTAGTTGGACGGGGCCTACGCTGAGTAGGTGATGGGTTATGCCATGGCCCCAGAAGTGACCTTGTTTAAATTGCGGTCATATCCTGAGCTGTATGGAAGACTATGTTCGTAATTAGTAATTAGATGTACCCTCTGGTAAATTAATAGTTTGACCCTAAAAACAACAATTTTTGAGAGGAAACTAATCTTCCAATCCCTATTTGCCAGGGTCTATGTTAATTTACTGGAGGGTATTTAGTGTATTCTGGTTGTATTCCAGATGACCCCTACCCCATGATTTATCCCAGTTCTGCTATGGCTTCCGGGTCAAAGTTTTGAGGCCCCTAAAACAAAAAAAGGTCTTTGCTATGTGGAGGTTTCCATAAATGGTACACCAAAAAGGAAGGTTTATTTCATGGAACATCCGAACATCAAATGGATGATAACTAGGGGTACCCCTATTTCAGGAAACCTCCATGTGGTCTATTTTCAGGTTGGTGGGTTCGTTGGTCATTTGAAAAACTCTACCGATGATCGATGAACTCAATATGTTTCAGCTGGGTTGACCCCGATCCACACAGCGACCGTGTTCATAGGCAGCCATTTAATGGATTGATGACCCTAGATGTCCTTTTCTCATTGGTTGGTTGATTCATAGAGGGGTTTGAAGAAACCTTTTAACAACAGGTAAATGATGATAGGTGGTATACCAAACCGGCCCCTCTATTTTTACCAAAAGGACATTATTGTTAGATAACCAAAACAGGTGGTTAACGTGAAACCGGCCACTTCGATGGGGATATCCGGAAAAGGACCGTTTGACAAAAGCCCAGGGGTGTCACTGACCACGTTGCAACTTCCTCACCATTACACCTTTGGGAAACAGTGGAATTTAGTAGTCAAAAGAAGATAGGGGATGTATAGGGATGTGACAAAGACAAAGATGTGGGTATCACCACCAACTCAAAATCCACACCATTCTTTGACGGGTCCCAAATGGAAATGCTGGTTGGTGGTTTCAAACATTTTTTATGTTTCCATATATTGGGAATAATAATCCCAACTGACTTTCTTATTTTTCAGAGGGGTAGGCTCAACCACCAACCAGGATATTTTTAATCATCATTAACCATATAATAACCATATATTAACCATCATTAACAGTATATTAACCAGATGTTGTTCTATTTTTTCTCTGAAGGTTCAAAACCATATTCTTATTGCCTAGGCTTGATAGGTTGGGCAAGTTGAGCCTTTTTCGACATGTGTCGATGGATTTTCCACATGTGCCTGTCACAATATAGAATCCGTGTGTACGTATATGTATGTATATATATACACAATGTATTTATACAAATACAGAAAATTACAAAATCATATCCCACTTGCAGATTTATAGATAGACAGAAAGAAAGACATTTCTGGATTTGTCCCACAAAAAATCCCCATTGAATCCATGTAGGTCGTGGTAAAAACATCCAAAATTTTCCCGCAGAAAGTCTTGTTGCGTAAAACCTTCTAAAACCACCATGAAAACACAGGGAAAAGCAAACACATATTGCATACATGAAATGTGTTTTTGGTTTATTGCATACATGAAATGTTTTTTTCTTAGATCCCATGTTAAATCCATATATAATCCAACTAAAATCCGTTTAAAATCCAATACCAAAATCCCATATGTTCAACGACTCGCCGAGGAGTCGCTTGCACTGCGCAGCGGCGGAGGCCAACTTCCAGCGGGCTTCAGGCGGCCGACCGATGATTGAACGGTGACCACCGGGAAATCATGGGGAATCCATGGGGAAACCATGGGAAACCTAGGAAAATCATAGGAAAACCATGGGAAAATGGGAAAATCATGGGAAAATCATGGGAAAATCATGAAATTCACAGGAAAGTACTCTGTAAATGTATGTTTCTAGCTGGGATTTAGCCAAGAAAATTTAACTAACCAAAATGGGGATAAACATGGGAGAATATTGGAACATATGTGTTTTTTTGATTTTTAGCGATTTACCCTATGGCTTTTTCACACATGGCAATCGGAAAATACCATATATATATATATAAATGTGTTTTTAACGGCAAAATCACAGCAAAATCATCTACACCTGGAGGATTTTCCATTGCCATGTTTGATTACCGGATGGTTAATTTGATTCAACTAATATTTTGATGGGGGATTGATAGTGGATTTATTCGATTTATCATTGGTTGGTTTTTAAGTAGGTCAACTATTTGATTTCTGGCTGGTGCTTCGTTAGTGTCTGTCAATATGATTCTTATTCTTTGAAATCAACTTACAGCTCTGGCCTGTTAGAGTTTTTTTAGCATAATAGTAAGCATTGTCACCAAAAAAACATCAACCATAACTGGTTGGTGGTTTGGAACATGAATTTTATGACTTTCCATATGTTGGAAATGTCATCATCCCAACTGACGAAGTCCATCATTTTTCAGAGGGGTAGGTCAACCACCAACCAGATAATACATCATGGAACCATCCCCATTGACTATATACAGATGTCAGATGATGTCAGGTGGTTCGCGTAAAAAATGTAACATGACGTCAGATGATTTTTTTTGGCCAGCTCCAGGACTCAGACAACCACTGGGAGCCGGATTTGTTCATGTTGTTTGTTTTGTTTAAATTGTTTATTATATATATATATATATCCACGGATTTATTTATGGATTGCATGGATTGATTTCTGGATTTCCATAGGGTTTTTCTGGATTCGCACGGATTTTGACGATTCTTTAGACGTTGATTTCAATGGATTTTTGTGGATTTCCCTCTTTGCGGCTCGGAGACCTGTGCCAACCATCCCATTAACCAACCACTAGTGTTATGACGCAAAATGCTTCATGTTATTGGAAACCAGCAAATAATAAAAAACAAAAAACAAAACAAAAATAATTAAAAAACAAAACAAACAAAAACGGTTCGACCACTGGTATACCAAATTTTAAAAATAGTGGGGATTGTTGATGATTGGCGTTGCCACAGTATCCACCATTGTTGGACGAAGCCAAACGTTGATGGATTGGGGCTTGGAACGCGAATCTTGATGACAAAACGGGTGGGGCTTGGGATTTGATTTCTGTGATCTTTAATGGGAAGGGGTTGGAATCCAAGATTTGGGAGCCCCCGCCCGGTGATCGGTACCACGGCCTGGTTATCCCATGTTTGATGGTTCAATCCATGGATGTCATTTTCCCATTGGCTGGTTACATAGAGAGGGTTGAACAAACCCCTGAAAAACAACAGGTTTCTATGATGATAGATGGTATACCAGCTCCCGGTCCCTCTATTTTCACCAAAAGGACATTATTGGTTCAATCCCTATGGTAGATAGGGCCTCTTTTTGTATGGCCGGGATATTTTTTGATCAGGATCTAGCACGGCACGTACCCTTCGGCGCAAATCGGGAGTCAAATATGGCAATAGAATATGATCACTTTCATTTAGAGCTTCAACTTATTTTATAGGGACGTGTCTTGATATTCTCATGACATTTCCATTATATTCCAATATTCCCATAAGATCCATGTATGCTATATATGGTAACATTTACCATCAATATACCCCCAATGTTAGCATATATACCATACATGGATCCTATGGGATTGATTTTATGTTGTTGCTGAAATCCCATTATAAAACTCTATAAAAAATAGAGGGAATTCACCAAGATTCCCATGATAGTTGGTCTTTTATTTTGCTGCTTCCTTCTTACATCTCCATGGAAAATCCCATGAAATATCTCAGTAGAACATGCACCTTTCATAGTCTAAATCTCAAGTCTAATTTCTAACCATGATACCCTCCGGTAAGCTAACATAACTATGGAAAATCACCATTTTTTATTGCTAATTCAACGAACTAAATGGCAATTTTCAATAGCTTTTTGTATGATTACCAGAGGGTAACCCATTATTAACCAATCACTATCCCTACTAATAATATCTGCCCGAATTATAACGACGTCACCCGACGTCACCCCAGAAATCGACCTAAGCCACTGAATTAAGGATACTAAGGGTTTTAAAGTGTCCTCATTCACCCGCAATGGAGAGAAGCATGGCTAACTCGCCCTTGCTGAAGGACTTGGGCGGGTAGGATTTCGCAAGACGTCCAATTTGAGCTTTTCAGCCCGCGAAAAGGTCAAATTGGACGTCTTGCGAAACGAGCTGGGGTTCGAACCCTCCCTGGTCTCGGCTCTTGCTCTCTCAAATGTTTCTTTCCATACTTGGTGATATTTCATCCCCTGTGACTCTGTGAGCGTATTCACGATTTTCTGGTAGTCTTCCATTCTATCCTTGCATATCTCGCTACATATGTCAACTATCAAGATGCTGAAGACTCAATAGCTCAGTTGGTAGAGCGTCAGCCTAGCAAGCGGGAGGTAATGAGATCAATTCCCAGAGTGATGTAAAATTATCTGATACATATATGGACCTAGTGTTTATTCCTTCACTTGTCTTTAGCTGTAGCGCATGAGTTGGATGTTCCCGCTCATGTTAGGGGGAGAAGCAAGGCATCCGTCCAACATGCTAGAATATATCTCTGTGGTATATACAAAGCATTTTTATGTCAAGTTCTTCCTGGCAGCATCTATCCCAGATACGTTTGTCAGAGGCCACTGCCCGCCAGGTGGGTGCTATGGAAATGTCACCTATATATATATATCTTGCCCGACGTAAAAACAATTCACTATTTCTTGCGACGTAAACCTTATTTCAATTTTGAAATAAAAAAATCGACCCAACGACCTACGAAATATTATAATTCAGCCAGATAATATGCCCATGATGTTTGATGAAATATCTTTTGTTGTTGGTGAAATCACTCACATATCCTTTTTTTTCTAAAACAAGGTGAGCCCCGACAGTTCCGTTTGTTGATTTATAAACCCAATTCACTGCTTCGATATATCTACCATACACTATAAAGTTCCGCGTTTGTGAACTAAATCAACTTATCTATCATAAATCAGCAACAAAAAACAATTGAATCCCGAATCCCCATGTTTCATCATTTTCTTGACTAAATCAATTCAAATCATTGGTTTAACCAAGAAGAATAATGAAATCCCATCAAGGTGGTGCCCATAGTTAGCTAAGTTGGTTTATAACTCCCATAACTATGGTTTATGGCAAATACAACTATAGTTAATGGGGTTTATAAACCAACAAATATCACTGGGGGACACCATCCTGCATTGAATCCCCATGTTTTCCTATGGTTTCGGCAACTTCTGACACCTTTCCGAAAGGTGGTTCCAGTGTCTTGGCCCTGCGCCATGCAGCCGTGGCACTGGAGTTGTTGAGGACTCGGCAGCCGCCGGAGAAGATGCATGGCCGGTGAAGGGATGCCACGGCATTGGGGGGTTGACCATTAGTTACTTGTGCTTGTATATATATATATACATGTATAAATATTTATATATATATACTGTGAATATGACCCTGGAATCCAAATAGACAGGTAAAATGAAGTTTCCCGGAAACACTAGTCCTTTAGTCCTGGAACCCTGTTCACCACAACCCCGCAGCCCTTTGCTCTGAATGTCCTCTGCCCGCCCACCACTGAAGTGAGCGGCGATGGTCGGCGAACGGCCAAGCAAGATGGAAGCACATGCGGTCATGTTCATGGTCATGCATATGTGGAACATTCGCACTGGTCAAAAATCAAAAACTTTTTAAGCTGGGGTCAGTGACTGCAACCTTCTCAGCATGACCATGTTGATTGATCCATTTCAAACGATCGCGTTTTGAGGCACGCTGCTTCAAGCTCTCCGTTTCATCAAACAGTGAATACCTTCCCGTCCGTAAACACTCTCTTAAAAGACTAGAGTCCATGGTTTTTGTCAGAGCATCAGCAAGCATGGCCTGAGTGCTAATCCATCTCATGGCTATGTTTTCTTGCAATCTCTCTCGAATTAATAAACACTCCAAAGTTGTGCGATATTCGGAGCATGTTGGTGTGGAGGTCTTTGTCGCTATGTCGTAGACCGACTTGCAATCTGTCACTGCGTTGGCCCGCGGTGCCATTTGAAGTATCTTTCCAGGATTGCTCCAGTCTACGCCTGGATTTTTCAGCCACTCCCAACAGACCCTGATATATCCCAACCTGTCGAGAGCACCACTCAGTGCAATTGCTTCTGCACTAAGCGTGGAAGTCACCACACGTGGAATTCGTTTTGAGCTCCAGGCAATTGGACATACCACAGTCCTTTCGTTTTGGGCCAAATTCAGGTCCGTGGAAAAGATCAAAGACCCTTGTCTGGAGGACATGTCCTTTGAGGTTGAAAAAGAGGCATCAGAAAACGAACAAAACGTAACATTGTTTTCAGGAATAGGAACAATCACCAAACACACAGCATGTTTCTTTCCCTCATATAGGACTCGGTTTGCTTCCAGAAGGTGTTGGATCTGACCTTTCGTCACTTTGGACTGGAGATTTCCAACTTTTGCTGCCAAATCGGGTCTGGTATGGACAGCGGCAAATTGTAAACTCCCGCAGAGACGTCTCAAATGCTGAATTTCAGCTGCTGTCCAGTCTGAATTGGGTTCAGCCCTTCTATTTCGGGGAATCTCAATGGGGTCTATCCTCTTGATATATTCTTCTTGGTCCATCTCAATTGTCCCATCATCCCATTGTCTATACCTTACCCCACAAAATTCAAATTCCCCTTCATTATAGGCCCCAAAATCATAGACTTGTTTGAGACGGTTGATGACGGAATGGAAGTATGTGTCTCCACCTCCAATCCCATCATCCACATGTATCCCCAACACTCCTCGGACATGGGGTTTCCCTTGTTTGTCAGAGGTGATTAAACTGAACAGGCAACCATCAAGGGGACAAACAACAAAACCAAAATCTTCGAGGGTTTTTCTAAAAGCCTTGTACCACAAAAACGGAGCATCTATTCTCCCATAGGCCCCACCAGTCAAGGCACACTGGTCCTCCCCTCTCATCCCCAGAGCTGTCCTAAGTTCAGGGGGGGCATGAATCCCTAATGGTCTCCCATCCCCTTGACCCTTCAAAAATGCCGTGGAGATATCGAAATTAATTAAGCGCCACCGTCTTGATGCCACTTGTTGCAACAGCAATTGACGACCATCCTTCGAAAGTGTTGGTGCGTCATTTGGGATCTGTTGCAGATCCGGGTCTTCGAAACCCAGTACCACTAAGCGTGCTTTGGCACGACGCTCGGTGGTTCCAGGAGCTGGTGGCTTCCATGTTAAAATCCAACGGCACCTCATCACCTGTTCAGGACGTAGGGTACCTTTGGTAGCACGCTGGACAGTTCCATGATCAATCCAGGCTTTGATTTCTTTCTTCTTTGCAGCATCAAACAGAGCCTGATCCCCTTCACTCTGCAACCGATAATTTACCTCAACCCTTTTTCGTTTCTCCCCAGTGGTGAGCCAAACCTGTTCAAAAATGCCTGGATGTGCACAGAAAGTTTCAGCTACCTCGGGTTCCCATTCTTCGTTGGTGAAATTTATTTCCCATACACCCCGCTCAGGACTTGATATGGTGACATCATCCCCAAACAGTGAATCTTCCTTATCCGTCTCCCAATCAGGTACCGGAACCTCATGTGGCAAAACTGGTTCGGTGTCATTGGGATTCCCATCCTCGGTGGGTGCATCATTTCGGAAATCTTCCTGTTCAGGCTGACTAGTGTCTCCCGTCGAGTCACGAGGTGTCCCAGGAGAGTACTCATTTTCTTCTAATTCCCCTTCCCTTGGTGGAAAATCTTCGGGGTCCCCACTCAAATCAACAAAACTTCTCCCCTTAGGCTCCTCATTCTTTACTTGATTGTCCTCTCCCCGGGGTAGGTTGATAAATTCACGCAAAGAGGCCGGTCGAATTTGCTCCGGGCTAGCTCTCACTAATCGACCCAGGTGGCTCAGCCAAACAACCCTCTTTTGTTCAACTGCAACAACCTGCGCCGGCCCATACCAGCGACCCCTCTCAATCCTGTTGTTCCCCTTTTGTCTCCTCCAATACAAAACCCAATCACCCTGTTCATACTCAACCTTCCCGGGTCGACTCTGTCGGAGCAAAGCCCGACGGAAAGCTGAGTCATTGTCCGCTTGGACATAGGCTTTTCTAGCCAGTTCTCGCCGCATTAAGTCCTGTCGGAATCTTAGTCCTTCAGGTGTGTCGCTGTCAGCCAATGTATGGCTGCTGGCGTCTGGATCGGACATGATGGATCCAGGGAGATGCCGGGATTTTCCTAACAGGCATTGCTCAGGAGTGAAACCATTTACTCTGGAGAGAGAATTCTTAGCATTGAACACCTGCCTCAAACACCTGGAAAACTCTGCCTCAGTGTCAATGTCACAATCCTTCTCCATTCGAGTTAGCATGGCCTTTACAATTTTTCCATGTGCCTCACTCCTTCCATTTTGCCAGTGTGCTTCCCCAGCCGTCATGGAAACTTTTGTTCCATCACTTTGAAGAGACGCCGCCCATGCATCGTTGACATATTCTCCCGCAGGATCAAGATACAGCAATCGGCTCGGCCCTGCCCATTGTACCCAGATTTCTTGATAGGATTGTATTTGGTTCTCAACCTTTCGTTCACTCAAACCCCCCACATGAAACAAAGTTGACTCATCGATAAAATGCATGAAATGAAAAACCTTCCCACTTTTGTTTCTCCAATACGCTCCATCGGCACCAACAACATCATTAAAATCAAGATGGGGGTGAATCTTTCCAGGTTGAGACAACTTGGGTCCAGTTTTGGTTTCAACACATGTATCACAACACATGTCTTTTGCACCCTCAACAATCTCAGGTTTTGCCCCCCGTTCCGACAAAAATCGACAAAACTTTTCGGGGTCAGGATGTCCCAAGTTCCGATGTAGTCTCATGAGCTCCCCTCTTTCCCCTTTACCCAAACTCATAAACTTTGGACCAGACTTTGGAATGATTTTGGGGGCCCATCCCTCTTCGGGGTTTCTTTGGGGTTCACCTGATCTTGTTGTGGGTTCCATAATAGTGTCACCAACACTTTCATCAACTCCCAGTTTTGATTCCACTTTCTCGGAATCACTGGGCTCATATGGAATACTGTGATCCGCACAGCGTGGAACGATGGCTTGGTCAAGCTTTGGACCCTCGCTAGCGGCTGCACTGGAACTCTCCGCTGACGGTCCGCTCGGAACTCCAAAGATGGACAGTGACATCTTGGCCGGTCCAGTACTTCGAATTTGCTTTAGCCTAGGAAGCTTCAACCACTCTTCTGGGGGCCCAATCTCCTTTACATCCCCACTGTCCCTGCTGATGATGACAGTCTTTCTTAAAGGATACTTATCCCCATTGTGGTCCGTCCCGTCCGTCCGATGTCTGTCCGTTCCTCTACACGAGATGACCAGCTTGACATGAAACTCCGGCACCAATTGTTGAATTAATTTCATCAACACACAGTCCCCTTCAAAACGATGACCCCCTACCCTAGAGGTTTCATATCCGGCAGTGCGGAAGACATCTTTCCATGTTGGTGCTCGGCCATACATCGAGGCCTCCGGCTGTTTCATGTCAACCCTGCGCCGCTTCTGCAACTGGAGCGATTCTTGTGCCATTTCAGGTCTCTCATGTGCCTCCAATCCCAATATGAGTTCTTCTTCTAGAAGAGGTTTCTCCCCCGTTGTTTCCATGAGGGTTCCCACCGTGCGCCGTGCAAATTGTGCCGTGTATGCTTGTGCATATGCTGACAGGGTTTTCCATGTCCCATTTATTTTGATCTTCCCCTTGATGGGTTTATGGACATGTTCCCCGTAACAAAAAGTTTGGTGGATCCTTTCAAAAAGTTTCCGGCTTGTGGTAAAAACTTGAGTCCTCTTCTGAAGATATTCTTTGGAACCTGGCAGTTTGAGATCTCCGACCTGGCACATGTCGAACGTAGCTGGCAGGGTTCCCATGCGAACATCTGTCAATTCCGGCTGCTGAATCATCTCTGATCCTCGAGGTTGTTCCATGTGAAAGTGTCGTCCATGACTGATTTGGTGTAGATAAATCTGATTACACAACGTGAGGTGTGGCTTATCAGACTGTCTCTCTCCTTGGATGGTGTCAAAAAGCTGCATGCTCCTACCCATGTTGTACCGAGCCCAATTTCCCCAATGTTTACATTCCGGGGCTACCCAAATATTTCGGGGTTCATACATTTCGATCCATGTCCACAGTTTATGTCTCCCCTCTTTGGTGGATAGATCCCCATCATCCTTGGTGAATCTTATGGCTCGCCCTCCTCGTTGATTACATACTTTTGTGATTTGAGATTCTTGGTCACAATATACTTCCAAAATGTCCACAGCCCTACCATGAGTTATTCCCCGATATTTCTTGGTTACCCCAGTCCTGAAGGATCTCTTAGGTTCACTGTACTTAGGATCCCATTTGAGCTGATCAAGTCCCTTTTGTATTTGTTGTGAATATCGTTCAACCTCCTTTTGAATGAAATTCACATGTTCCTGGGACAACCCCTTTATGCATCTTCTGGTTGCCATGCTGTCCCGTTCAGCTCGATCTGCAGATCCCTTTGCAGTGTGGCGATCTGTGCCTGCAACTGGGCCACCTTGGTCTCGTTGGGCTGAGTCTCCATGGTGCTGGCTGTTGACGGTAAGCTCCTCTTCGATGTTTTCACTTCTGTCACCTCCACATGTTCCCAGTCCTTGTCCTCCTTCTTGGCCTTCTGGGCATCTCGAACCTTCTTTTGCTCGATCAACTGAGCATTGGTCCGTGGAGTCAACCATGGTGCTCCCCCGGCTCGGATGAGTGAAGCCACCTCGGGAGTCATGTGAGGTGAGATAGGCATCTGAAGTCCCTGATTGATGGTGTCCTCCTTCTGTTTCTCGATGCTGGCTTCTCGTCGGTGGCGGCAATATAGTTGGAAACTTCGGGCCCAAGGAGCTACTGCTCGCCTGTTCCACATCTGGCTCACGTACTTGCGGTCGGTCTCGTAAATCACCGCATAGGTCTTCTGATGATGCTTCCCTGATGGTGCTATCACTGATCCCCATTCCTCCAAGTTGGCCACCCCCGGAGGACGAGAAAGGCTTTGGGGAAGCTCCTGATAGGTCGCATTCCCGTGCAGTGAAGGATCCACCGGTGACGTGAGGCTCTTCTGCAGGTAGTTCACGGTACCCTCCGTGGCCATGATGCGAATCAGACAAACACGCTGATTGACTTCCACCTGTGACGACTTCCTTTTTGCTGAGCAGTGATGCTGCAGGATCACTTGAATTGTTGGCATGGAGTGTGGGAAAAACACTTTCCTTTGAAAACGTGTCATTCAAAATTTGAATTCCTACATGTTTTTCATGTGTTTCTTCATGCAAGTGGGCATCATGGGCATGAACCTGCCTTTCATGGTCTCTTTTGATCACCTCCTGTGTGCATAAGATGTGTGTTTGTGTGCGCGCGCACGCAGTTTTGGGGTCTTCACCAACAGATCCAACACCTTAACGCCTAGGAGATTCTTTCGGACTTCAAACAAAGGAATCCACTCATCACATCCCTTAAACCCCAACCGTCTCTCAGCAACATCAACAATCCCTTGCAATTTTCCTAGGACTGCATTTGAAATAAGGAATGGAGTGTGACCTGGCACCACCTCGACACGAAGCCAGTCCTTTTGAGCCCTCGGAAGCAGTACCGCAAATTCAGATGACAACCGGCCAGCGTTCCCAAATTTGAAAACAATTCCATCAGTGGGTACTCTCATGATTTTATCTCGAACTTCAGGGGGAAAGCTACGTACCATCCTTTCCAAACGGGCTCGTCCTATGACTGCCCGGCTGGCACCTGTGTCAATGATCGCTTCGTCATCGGCTTCCTCAGTATTAAAAATCTCAGCTCCACCTGCTTCTGAGTTCATTTGACTCTGCAGAAAAGTGGATCCCGAGAGAACCGGCTGATCTGGCTCGTGCACGACAGTTGCTGAAGCGGACTTTCGATCAGTATTCCTACAACATTTGGTCAAGTTGCGGGTCAAACTGATCTGCAAAGGAAAAATTTTTTGACTAGTCTCAGCCATTAAGACATCATCCCCACCATTGAAAACCGGTTCAATCTCGTTGGATGACTTTTGACCCCCCTTTTGACCTTGATCAGTTTGTGGAAAAGTTGAAAACTTGTGTTGTCCCTCCCCGCGCCTCCAAACCAGTGACATAGTAAGGCTGCGCATCCTCCGGAAGCGCATGGATCACCGTCTCAGAGCTGCCCTGGTTGTCCCGCACCATGTGGAACTCCTCAATCATCATTCCCGTGAAGGACTCCCCCTCATTGTTCTTCTTCACATTCTCGATCTGATTGTTGGCCATCGGACATTCTCTCTTCCAGTGACCCGGCCTGCCACACCTACGGCATGTGGAGTTGGCAATTCGGTCGGCCAGTGTTTTGCGACGACCCATCATACTGGTGCCCCCGCTCAGCATTGGCCCTTTTCCCATGCTATAGCCTTTGCCCTTTCCAGTGAACCCTTTTCCTTTTCCACGGCCCTTGGATCCACTCAATGGCCAGAAGCCACGCGTCCTGGCTTTCTCACGAAGGCGTGATCGTGCCTCCTGATAAGCCGTGAAGCAGCTTGCCAATTCGCTCGATTCTTGGCATGCCACCAGGATCTGCTCTTCAAAGTCATTGACAAAGGCCGCATCCTCATCGCCTTCCTCGGCCATAGCGACCATGATGTTCTCTTCATCATAGTCCTCCTCCTCATGGAAGTAGGCGTTTTCATCGTCCACATAGTTGACATCATAGGTCTTCAGTTTGGTTGGTCGTCCACCCGTGCCCCCTTGGAGATCCTGAAAGAATCGTGACCCCAGGAGGCGGATGTGTTTCCGGGCTCCCTCATAGGTCAACTTCCCCTCATTCTCCATGATCACTCGTTTGCGATCCTCTGCTGGGAGCATCGACTGCCTCAACAGCACATAGGCTCGCACCTCCTGCAGGTCTACCTTCTTGCCAATGAGGTCTTCAAACGCCGCATCATGCCTGGCCATGTAGCTGTCATTGGTTTCATCAGCTCGTTGATTCACCTGGTATAAGGCCTTTTCGAAAAGGTCATACTTTTCTTCGGCATCCAAGCGTCCACATTGACCCCCCAATGCCTGTACCAAGTAGGCAACTCCATCAGGTTCACGGAGCTTTGCAGGGTCGAGTCTGGAGACCTTCTGAAAAGCCACTCCTTCAACGGCTAAAGCCGCACGAGGCCCAAGGTGTTCAAGGTGTTCCTTTGGCCACAGCTGTTGTAGAAACTCCAGCTTCCGGGAATACGTTCTAACATCCGTTTCTCCCGGAATGAACTTCGGAATCTGATTCCAGGGAACAGCTGAAGGATAGGCCCCAGATCCCGCTGCTGACGCAGGTCCATCTTCTGCTGCCATGGCTCAGTCGGTCCGGCTTGACTTCAGGTGTCAATGCCAATTAGGAAAAAGCTTGAGTGATTTTGAATTTAAGGACCCCGAATGCCGTGATCCCTACGGGCAAACCCTTCCTAAGTCCTGGAAGCCTGTTGCAATAGGGGAAATCACAGGGGAGCAAAATTTTGCAGTAGCCAAAACCCGCGGCAGCCCAGTGCTCCGCTACCAATGTGAATATGACCCTGGAATCCAAATAGACAGGTAAAATGAAGTTTCCCGGAAACACTAGTCCTTTAGTCCTGGAACCCTGTTCACCACAACCCCGCAGCCCTTTGCTCTGAATGTCCTCTGCCCGCCCACCACTGAAGTGAGCGGCGATGGTCGGCGAACGGCCAAGCAAGATGGAAGCACATGCGGTCATGTTCATGGTCATGCATATGTGGAACATTCGCAATATACATGTATAAATATATATTTATATATACATGTATAAATATAAATATATATATGGTGAATTAGTCGGGATTTAGCCCGAAAAAATGGTGAATGATTGAGATTGTACATCTGATTTATATCTGATTAGTCGGGAATTTTCCGGAATGATCCATAGTTAGACAGTATTTGTACTTAATAGATCTTAATTCATGCTTCTAGTATCTATAGTTAGATATAGTTAATCTGGTCGGTGGTTTGGAACATGAGTTTTATTTTCCCATATATTGGAAATGTCATCATCCCAACTGATGAACTCATATTTTTCAAAGGGGTAGGTATACCACCAACCAGATTACTTACTTGTGCTTAGTAGGGAATTTAAGGGAATGATCCACTGGCTAACTATCAATAATAATCCCAGCAAACCCCATTCCCATCCATTCCCTACTAAGCACCAGTGAGATTAAACATTACCTATTTTTCGTGGAAACGAATCTTTCAACCCCTATCTGGCAGGGTCGAACTGTTCATTGACTGGAGGGTAAACTTGATGGTGTAACCATAACTAGAGGGTAATTGGAAATCTATAATGGTTAATAATGATTAAATATGATCAATAGTTGATAATAATGATAATTCATGGTGGTCGATGATGATCAATGGTGATATACTGGGGATATTGATCACCAATAATTGGGGATATTCATGGGATATATGGAATATATACTGGGGATATCGTGATATAATTGATATATCCTCTGGTAAACTAACATAAGAAACATCCAATAAGTGGAGGGTAATTGATAAAAAGTATTGAGGGGGACACTACCCCCCAGGAAATTAACATGACGGCCCTGCCATTCAGGGTTGGAAGATGAGTGAAACCACGAAGTAAATGGCTTATTTTCAGCGTCTATGGATGATATACCCTCTGGTAAACTAACATGTTGCTAAGGAAAAAACGCTATGTTTAATGGGTAAATCAACGAACTAAACGGCAATTTTCAATAGCTATGTTAGTTTACCAGAGGACAACTGGGGATATTAATGATGATATACGGGGAATGAACCATGAAAATTCTTTTAAGATGGGATATAAGGGACGGGAGATGCACCAAGGGCGTAGAGGAACTATTCTACTGTAATCGATATAGTGGATTAATGGCGGTTAATCGAGATTTTATGTTGGTTGGTGGTTTGGAACAGTTTCTATGTTTCCATATATTGGGAATAATCCCAACTGACGAACTCATATTATTCAGAAGGGTTGAAACCACCAACCAGTTATAGTATTTTTCAAAAAAATGTGACGTAAGCCATCAAGATGGTGATATAACTGTGATATGATGGAGAGATCGTGGGGATATGAATGAGGTACATCAGATGATATGTGGGTATATTCGACTGTAACAATATGGTGATTGAACCATCAAAATATGAGGTATGATTGGGATACAATGGAATATAGTGGGACAAACCATGAAAATTGGGACCTAAACCATGAAAAGCAGGGATCTAGTTGCAAATCCGGTAGTTGTGTGGGTGAATAGGTACATAGTCACCAATAGAACTGAGAAAAATTGAAAGGGGGATAATGGATGTAAGCAACAAGAACAGGATTAAACCGTCAAACTATGATGTCAATGGTTCAAACAAGATTGGCTTTACCAACACAAATGGAGGGTAAACAATGGTAGTCTCGCAGGTTATATGCGGGCATCGGCAGCCGACCAAACCATACATGGCTGCTGAAATTGATGGATTGATTCAATATTCCTGCACCAGCTAGTTGTCTCAAGAATTCTTGAAACTCACTGGTCCATTCCTGAATTGTGCATGTCCTTATTGCCTCAGGTTTGGGAACGTTTGTCATTTGACCGGATGGTTACATATGTATGTATATACTTGTATTATATATATATAATTTTAAATATATATATATATATATGATTAATTATATATACATATATATATATATATGGGGAATACTGAGAGAGAGAGAGAGAGAGCGAGAGAGAGAGAGGAAACATCTACAATCCCATCCCCAGTTCACAGTTCACAGTTCACAGTTCACATTAGTTACACAGCCTGGGTGCAATCACATTCTTGAGGCCCGATGGGGATGGGATTTCTTTACCACCCACTTATTTGACTTTCAGGCTATCTAAGATTGGCCATAAAATCTGTAATTTCAAGACCCCAACAAGAAATTCCACGTGTATATATATATATATATCCCCATTATATCCCAAAATGATATCCCCATTATGGCTGGGTAAGTCGTACCCTCCGGTAAATTAACATAGACCCTGGCAGATAGGGCTTGGAAGACTAGTTTCCACTAAAGATGGGAGAATTTTCACGGTCAAACTATTAATTTACCAGAGGGTATCATATTCACCATCGTTCAATGGTTACAAGGTGGTGCCCCATAGTTAGCTAAGTTGGCTTATAACTCCCATAACTATGGTTTATGGCAGATGTAACTATAGTTAATGGGGTTTACAAACCAACAAACATCACTGGGGGGCACCATCATGTAATCCCATCATCAAAAAACACATGCTCAAGGAATTGGATCAACAAGCCGGTGGGCTTCGTCATTCCAGAGGCCAAAGAAAGTTCCCTGGCACGGCAAAAAGGACGGCCGTTGTTTCACCGGGAAATCATGGGGAAATCATGGGAAAACAATGGGAAAACCATGGGAAAATCAAGAAATTCAGAGGAGAGTACCCTGTAAATGGAAGTTTCTAGCTGGGATTTAACCAACAAACATGATGATGTTTTAATGGGATTTCACATGATTTAACTATGTAACCAACATGGGGATGATCATGAGATAATAATGGAGGCTTCACCAACAATAGCGCTTGCGGCGTAAGAACGTTTTACTTTTCGGGAATCATGGAACAACCGTGGGAAAGTTGTATAGTTACCTTATTGATAGTTTAACTAGATACTCAGATAATTAAACCATATATGGATACTATGAATTCTATAGTCGGCTTAGTATATATGTATAGTATAGTTTGTATACCACATAGCTCATATTTATATATTTATATTTAGCCGGAATGGAATAATTGTAGTAGGGGATTTTTTTATGTTCCGTCTTATCACATACCTGTAAAACAATGGAAAGCTGCGTTCATACTTGCCCGCAACTGCGCGTTCAAGACATTGTAATTTTCTCATATGTTCAACCTTGTGCGGGACGATTTTTCCCGTCGCCCATTCATATTCAAGAACCCCATAGCTAATGGTCCCGAAGATGTCACATCTACATCCACCTGGGAGGTCTATGACAGGCTTCTTGAATGATGGGACTCCCATTCCCATACCGCCCCCAGATTCCCAAAAGAAAGCTCAATAAACAGGGAAGATTATGGGACTGGTTTTCGCATATTTCTTGTAATCATCCATATTAAACAGCCAAAACTGGGGACTTTGGATACCAGGTTTTGAATAGTTTTGGCCCATACAATGTGGGGCCCCCAAGATAGCTAAGCTGTTTTATAGATTACAATAATTAGGGTTTATTCGAGTTATAACGTTAGATGGGGTTGTAAACCCACAAACATAACTAACTACAAGGTGGTGCCCCCCCAGTTATAAGGTGGTTTATAAAGCATAGGAAGTATAGATATATCTACCATAAACGCATCCATAAACCATAGTGAGATTGGAGTTACTTGGCCCAACTTAGCTAAGTACAGGACACCACCTTGTGGCGGGCTTGACACCCTCGGATGGTCGAAGGGCTGCACCATGAAAAAATGGATGGTTTGAAGCCTGAAATATAAGGAGTTTATGGTTGGTTTATGATAGATATACGTACTCTGGTAGACCCAAGATCACGATGTTTTGGAGGGAATGGTATTGAAGACTTTATTAAGTCGAACCCTTCTTCGTTTGTGAAATGTCATTACATGCGTTTTTTTCTTTCAACTGTACCGTGGCCCGACTGTAGAATTTCCAGGGTGTTCCTGCTGCCGTAGGTGACACGCTTTGGCTAACCTGGTTTCCAGACATTGACTGCCTTGACAACTGCCTTGATTTGCTTCATGGATGTCTTTTTTGTGTTTTCCCGTACAATGTGGGGCCTGCAAACGTTATGTTTGTTGGTTTTGTAACCCCATCTAACTATAGTTTGTTATAACTACCATACACCCTAGTGAAATTGCAATTATTTGGCCCAACTGAACGCTAGCGTGGCCGGGGGCCCCACATTGTATTGGTTCATTCGGTTGCGCAGCGCCGAGGTGGCGCGGTTTTGCCATTGGTGCCTCTCAAATGTGGCAACTTGGCGTTATGTCTCTTGGGATTTCATCACCATTCCCCAGTCAGAAAAGCATTTTTATAGGTTGCATATATAAACCATTCCCAAATTGGTGGTTTATGACATTGTTTTAACCACATTATATATATATATATATGTGTGTGTGTATACTGTGAAGAATTTTATGGGAATTCATAAGGATTACATGAATGGGCATTGGGTTACGACATGAAATATGGGATGTACTGTTGTAACTTTGAGGGCTACATGGAACTCTGATGCTCTGAGTGTGTATTTTCTTTATTTAAAA